CATCGAAAAGCTCAAGTTTTGGCACTTTGAACCTTCCGAGGAGCACGACGACGCGACACCGGAGGAGCAGCATAAGGAATTTTTGGCCAAGCTCGTGAACCGGTTGGTTTACACCTGTAACCAACTACAGTCCGAGCTGGCAAATCTCTGACGGGCAGTGCAGAACCACAAGGGTCTGCACGAGGATGCTACACGGCCACTTGATTCCCGTGTACAGGACTTGGAGCAATCTGCACCAAGACCAGATGCTGGCGAGTCCAGCAGGGCACCCTCTACCCGCCAATTGGAGGAACGAGTTGACCACGTAGTCGCAATGCTCGGCGACATCAGTACCTTCGTTGCACCAGCCACCATCAGCAAGCAGATGGACACCTTGAAGACCGAGGTTAAGCAACTGCACCAGCTGCCTAACGAGGAGGGCAACACCACGCAACACTACAAGATGCCGACATTCCAAATCGAGAAGTTCGATGATTACACGCATCAAGACCCGGTCATCTGGTGGGAGGGCTTTACGACGCAACTTCGGATTCTGATCGTCCCCAAGCACTTCTACATCAGCGCGCTTTTCCTCAACTCAAAAGGCGGATGCCAGATCTGACTGAGCCACCTGGCAACCGTCCACGGTGTCGACGTCGCAGATCTGAAAGATAAAATCTCTTGGGAAGAGTTAACACGACTATGGAAAAAGCGGTTCATCGTGGACGACGCCCCGACGCTCGCCATCAACCACCTCCGCTATGATGCAAGGCAACACAACAACACGCGACTGGCTCACGGAATGGCAAAAGATCACGGCAACGCCTGATCTAGAATTGCCATTTTCGCATCTGCGCCGGGAGTTGTACAACAGGTCATGTGGCGCCTTGAGCCTTGCACTTGGTGATCACAAGCAATATGCGACCTTCGTCGAAATCATCGACAAGGCAAGGGAGATCATCAAGACCGATAGGGCGGCTGCACACGAGAAGTCGGCATGGCAGCCAACCTATGTGGAGAAAGGAAAATTTGGTCCGCGTCCACAGCATGTCGCTGCAGTCCACACAGACAGCATTGTGGAAGACCCGGCAGCCACCCAAGCATCACGTGAGGGAGATCAGCTGGCTGTTGTCCAGCCGCAAAGCATCAACAAGACCCGAGGAAACGAGAAGGCGAAAACCGCATCGCCGGTCGGAAACGGACAGCCAGCACCATGGGTCAAGTTTGACTTGGCCGAGGTGGAATACAAGTGGCGCGGCCGCTACGGCTGCTGCTATTGGTGCAACAGCACCAAGCACAAGACCTCCCAATGCCCAGATTAAGGCATGGAGGATGTTCGGCCTCGTATCAACTTGGGAAACTGAGTTCCGCGGGAGGTGAGGCGACTCCACCTCTCACTCCACCAGATTCGGCCGCCTTGCTAGTGGCCTCCTACACATCTGGGGAGGATGCGAATGTCGCAAGTTCTCGGTACACTTACGAGGATTATGCTGTCCACTTGGCCATTGGGCCAACCGCCCCATGTGCAACAATCTACCGCATGCACGGTTTCACTACCATAGGCAACTTCGCCGCCATCTATCGCCGGCGATTCGACGACATGGTCAAGACTTGAAGAGCTCGACCCGTTGACGTTTGTGGACTTCCAATGGATGCCCCTTCCCCGGACCGGTCGATTGCCGAAACCGCATTGCAACGTGCTCATGGCACAATTGTGGGATTACTTGCACACTGCAGTACCAACTCCGTTGATGAACGTCGGAGAAGAGGTTGTCGACCTTCACAATTACATTGCGAAGATTGATCGCGAGTTCAGGACACAACGGTACGACGACATCGACGCACCATTGTTATATGTACGCATTCAGATCGGATAGGCGACCTGCAGCGCTTTGATCGATTGCGGAGCATCTCGCAACTACATGAGCCAGGATTTTATGGTACGCGCCGGCCTTGGCACACGCATCCGGAGGAAGTCCCAGCCTACGCAAGTCACGTTGGCAGACGGTCACACGCACAAGTCAATCGACTGGTGCATAGATGACGTCCTCGTGTACTTTGCCCCGCATGCAAGCGAGGCGGTGTCCTTTGATATTTTGGACACCAAATTCGAGATGATCTTGGGCATGTCATGGCTGCGAAGCGAGGATCACCCGGTGAACTTCTACCGCTGCACCGTTCACGTTCCTGATTGGCACTAGTCCCATGTACGGTGCCTCCTCCTCACCCTTCGATCAGCTGCCACGTGGTGTCCGCGGCAAGCATGCGAGCTTCCATCATCAGAGACGACGTCGAGGAGATGGGGGTGTGTTTTCTCCATGCCCTCCTGCCCCATGACGCTTCATCGACGGACTCATCTTCGGACACACGCATCACCGAGCTTCTCGACGCCTACGGCGACGTGTTCGAAGGCCCGCACGAAGTAGTACCGGATCGGCCCATCCGCCACGAGATCATCCTCGAGGACGGGGCTGTGCCTCCGCGTGGTTGCATCTACCGAATGAGCGAGGAAGAGCTAAGTGTGCTACGGGCACAACTCGACGACCTTCTTGAGAAAGGCTGGATTTGGCCTAGCTCCTCGCCATACGGTGCTCCCGGTCTCTTCGTCCGGAAGAAGAACAAGGATCTGCGGTTGTGCATTGATTATTGCAAGCTCAACCCGCAAACGGTCAAGAACGCCGGCCCTCTTCCACGCATTGACGACCTCCTCGAACTGCTGGGCGGCGCCAAGTTCTTCTCCAAGCTAGATCTCAAATCGGGATATCATCAACTCGAGATCCGGCAGGAGGACCGCTACAAGACCACGTTTAAGACGCGATATGGGCATTTCAAATGGCTGGTTATGTCGTTTGGCCTTACGAATGCCCCATCCAATTTCCAAGCGGCTATGACAACGGAGTTCCGACACATGCTGGATCGATTCGTACGACATCCTGGTGTACAGCCGGAGTTTGGACGAGCATGTGGAGCACGTGCGCACCGTTTTGGAGCGTCTACGACAAGCCAAGTACAAAGCCAACCGCGACAAATGCGAATTCGTGCGGCAGGAGCTGGAGTACTTGGGATATTATGTGACGCCGGAAGGCATCCGTCCGCTTGCGAATAAGATCGAGGCCATCCGCATATGGCCCGAGCCCACCAACACCACGGACGTTCGTTCATTCATGGGGTTGGCGGACTACTATCAGCGATTTATCACCGGGTACTCAAGGATTGCTGCACCTATGACGAGATTACAATCGCCAAAGGTGCCATTCGTGTTCGATGATGACGCACGCCGGTCATTCCAAGCACTCAAGACGGCCATGCTCATGACACCCGTCCTTAGCATCTACGCCCCCACCCTGCCAACGAGAGTGACAACCGACGCTTCCGGCTATGGCATTGGGGCAGTCTTGGAACAACACGACGGCGACGACTGGCACCCTGTGAAGTATTTTAACCACAAAGTGCCTCCCATCAATTCGCTTGATGATGCAAGGAAGAAGGAACTGCTCCCGTTCGTGATGGCTCTCAAGCGATGGCGGCACGTCCGCCTTGGGCGTCGTAGGTTCATGGCGGCACTTCCTCCTTGGGCGTCGTAGGTTCACATGGGTGACGGACAACAACCCATTGACCTACTACAAGAGGCAGGATACGGTGAGCAACACGATCGGACGATGAATGTACTTCATCGACCAATTTAACTTCGCACCGAAACATCTCCCCGGCCTCTCCAATCGCGCAGCAGATGCACTCTCGCGAAGACCTGCTCTTTGCGCTATAACACATCATGCTTTCGCATTTGACGAGGAACTCCAGCGACACTTCATCCGGGGCTTTGAGTCTGATCCGGACTTTGCCATGTTGTATGCGCAGCTATCTTCGGATCACCCGCTGACCAGCCACTATCGCATTGCCGACAGGTACTTGCTCCTCCACTCGAGAGGCAACGACTTATTGTGTGTCCCACGAGACCGTCGTCTTCGGACTTGCCTTCTCGGGGAGTACCATGACTCGGTCCTCGCGACTCGCCGACCATTTTGGAGTCAACCGCACTATTGCACGACTTCGACAACAATTTCGATGGCCCGACCTCATTACCGATGTCACTCAGTATTGCGACTCTTGCGAAGTTTGCCGACGAAGCAAGCCCCGCAATGGCAACCCCTACGGCGAGCTGCGCCCGATGCCTATCCCACGGGAACCCGGCCTCTCTATTGCCATGGATGTCACCAGACAATTTCCTCGCGATCGCCTCGGGCCCGACGGCATCCTCACGGTCGTGGACCGTTTGAGTAAGTACGCGCGTTTTCTCCCATGCAAGTACTACTCTACGGCTCCCGAGCTGGCACGCTCTTGCACACCGGCTGGATTTGCGTCCACGGTGTACCGGAAGACATAGTCAGTGACCGCGACACTCGCTTCATGCCGGCATTTTGGACTGCTCTCATGCAGGAGTCCGGCACGAAGATGAAACCAAGTTCGGCTCGGCATCCACAGACGGACGGGCAAACGGAGCGGGCACATCAAACCGCTTAAATAATGCTTCGTACGCTCATCCATTTGGACCAGAAAGATTGGGTTGACCGCCTCCCGGACATCGAGTTCGCCTACAACACTTCGGTGCATCCGGTGCTCGGCGTGACTCCATTCGAGTTGCACCACATTGGACGGAAATGTGGTATCTTCGCCGACCTTCTCCTCCCACGACCAGCTAGCATTGACGCCGCTTGCTCTCCCGCTTCCGTCCGGAAGTACAAGGAATTGTTCGCTCAAGCCCGCGCGAATCTGAAAAAGGCTCAAGTCCACATGCAACAGCAAGCCAACAGGCGTCACATGCCATGTCCCATCCGCGTCGGTAATCTGGTTTGGGTCTCCGCGGAAGAGTTTGCATTGGAATAGGATGTTTCACGCAAACTGCTTCCCAAGTGGTTTGGACCATGGCCCGTAACATCAGCCGCGGGCGAGGAGCCTGATGGCCCTTCATTTGTGATCTACATTCCCCCGCATCTGACGGTCCATCCAGTCTTTCACGCCTTGAAGCTGGCGACATACACACCAACTAAGAGCGACGACTTCCCTGGCCGATGATCGCAGGACCCTCCTTCTGTGGATGGTCATCAGGAAGTTGACTGCGTCATCACCGATCGCAAGTACGGCAGCAAGCCTCGACAGAACAAGGTTACATTCAAATCATGCGATCGCGAGGACATTCGGTGGATTTCAGGAGCATATTTGAAAGCATCCGCACCGCTGATCTACGCTCATTACGAGAAACAAAGGTTAGCTCAGGGAACTTCACGACCTGCACCTCCCGCCCGGACTGTGGTCCGTCCCTCAGACAGACAGCTTCGCCCTCGCAGGTAAGCTCGGTCTTTCAAGGAGGGGGGGGTGTGGCATACTGTGTAGCCACACGGGCCTGCAGGGCCCGTTCCGCATTCTCAGTCTACAAGCCTAGAAATAAGGGCTTACAGGCCCCATGTCGTTTCAGCCTGAAAATTGAAAACGAGGGCCTGCAGGCCCTATTTCGTTTTCAACCTATAACAGGGCCATTCAGGCCGTGAGTCTTTTCAGCCTGAAACGGAGGGCCACTTTCGGGCCCTCATAAGATCGACCTGCCCTAACACTGAGGCACAAAACCAGGGTTTCGCGAACTGGCTATCTTTGGCCTGTTCCCACGAACAGCCTCAGCAGGAGCTGCAGCGGCAGCCCCTGGCTCCCTTCGGCATTGGCAAGAGCAGCGTCGTGGACTGCCCCACCCTGCAGCTCCAGGCAGTCAGGAGGCAGGCCGAGTAGAATATAGGGAGTTCCCATGCACTTCACGGACAGGTAGTTGGACAGAAGGCAGGAGGCAGTCTTCAGGATTCGGCAGCAACACTCTGGAGGAGCGTTGTAGGAGTAGCTTAGCGCTAGCAGTAGTCTTCAGCGTTGGGCGCTAGTAGCTGCAGGAGTAGTCTTCAGCGCAGGGCGCTAAGTAGTGGTAGTGGTAGTAGTATCGGAGAGAGATGGCTGGCGGAGGCCAGTGAGACTTACCTGCGGCGCCGTAGCTCCAACTCCATCTTCGAGGTACCTGCATCAAGGCGCCAACTTCACAGGTTAGTACCGACTGAGAGAGAGAGAGAGTTCTTCTTCTTCCTCTTCTGAGTCCACCATCTCTTCTTCACCCTCTCCCTATCTGACTTCTCGGTATCTGCAGACTACAAGAGAGAGAGAGAGTTGTGACTTGAGACTTGATGACATTGGATCCAGACTCGACATTGGGATTCAAACATTTTGAGGAGGGACTATTTGGGCCTGTGCCGAAGACTTGGTGTTGACGACATTCCCATCTCCCCCTCTTCTTCGTCTAACCCCCCTCTTCTTCGTCTAACCCCCCTCTTCTTCGTCTAACCTCCCTCTTCTTCGTCTTACCCCCCTCTTCTTCGCTAACCCCCCTCTTCTTCGTCTAACCCCCCTCTTCTTCGTCTGTGTATGGTTGGGGTTGGCGCATTCTTCCTTTGTGGGCGCCAGACCCCTTCACACCATGGAGTGATGACTGCCTCCCGATGGTGGAGCTACAGGGAGGTGAAGCCCTGAGTGGGGAGGGGGGACCCCTGTCGCTAGCGACCTGGTAGCGGCGGTCTGGGCCGATACTCCCGGGTGGGTTGCAAGGATCGTGTGTTCCCCCTTGAGATATCACAGGGTAAGTGGGTGGGCCCGCTGCACCGCCAGTAGGGCCGACCCCGACGCGGGAAGCCCTCTGTCGGACATCCTCCCTGAGTCATAATCCCCGACACCTCCACAACCCTTTAAGATGATGATGTATGTTCAGGTCTGCATTGCAATATTGATCGTTCGGATCATTGGTATCTAAGTCTTCCGCTACGCTATCTTGTACTTTGTGAGAGAGGTCGGTTCTTGTTCTGGTCTGCACCATTACAATATGCAACAATAGGGGTCAGTGCAGAATGTTTGCTCTCAGAAACACATATGACGATTTTCTGTCATGCAGCTTCCCCCACAAAACCTCACTGAGCTTCGACCTTCATTAACCATTTTGTGCTTTCTCAATTTCGTACTTTGCGCAATGCTTTACGAGGCCCGGTAGACTACTCATTAATATCATATTAGTATACTCCCGTTAAAAAACAAAGTGAAACCCATAATTTTTTTTTTTTTTTTTTTTTAATGGGAACAAGGCTCCAATCTATTCGTGGGGAGCAACACGTGCTGGGAACCGGGCCCAACGTCCCATATGAAAATTTACATAGAAATTTGAAAGTTTAAGATACCGGGGTCGTTACCCGACAGTGGCTAAGAAAACTTTGAGCTACTTAGAAAATTACTACAACAACCTTCAGAAATAGGCAAAATTTCAGAAAGTGACTCAGAAACCCCCCAACAATCCTCGTTACCTCACTCCGGCAAGACCTACTGCAGCCGAGCCACCATCTCCGCTGCTGATGTACCCTGTTTCCATCCTACGAGTTAGCCCCCTCACTAGTAGAACGTGTGGTATCCAACCATCTACTTATCTCGCTCACCTCTTTTTTGAGAAAAATTAAGAAGACCTCCCCATGCCAGCATTGATTGCCCCGAATATCAGTGGATTAACTGAAAAGGGACACCCTTGATGATATGTCAAATTTTGAAAAGTATGAAAAAATATGCAATCCCTGGAACAATCAACCCAAAAGATACTGCCTCCATCATAGAATGGAAAAAACTCAAGTTGTTCCAGGTGGAGTTAGTAGCAAGTGGCCGCTACCGCCAAGATACTTCTCGCCAATCGCATCCACCCCAACTCCCTCCATTTAGTCCCATCCGTCCTTTCTAGCTCCGTCCTCGTAAGAAATTCCAGAGGATTGCTTCTTAGTAGGGGTGAGCACCATCATCACTTGAAGTTCCTTACCCCCATAAGAACTCCAGTGTCCGTCCTCAAAGGGGTAAACTAGCGCTACCCAACGCCAATCGCGCCAGAGCTCGCCCTCATCAGTCGGTACCCATCGGACAGCCTAAACTACCCAACGCGAATCGCATCTGATAAGAGCTCCCATAGGCGGTACCCGTCAAGCAGCCCTATTCCATCTCCCTCTCCGTCCTTGCAAAGAATCATTTCATGCCCCTTCCCCGTGCTTCAAAACAGATCCACCAAAACCCTACAAGATACTTCGCTTGACTATCCCATGGGGCCCTTGTTAAAACTCTAACGAAACTCTAACGAAAAAAGGACAACTATTAATCTTCGTCGGGTGAATAGCTTACGATAAGGGGGGGTAGGCAGACGTCCTGCGCTGGAGGGAAATGTGAATCATGGAGCTGGGCAGCAGCCTTATGCACGGAGGGGGCCTAGGGTTTTCTTTGCACGATTATGACTGTGAGGAATTAGGATGATCGGAGGAGAGTTTGCCACCCTCCCCATGACTAGATCTTCATATATGCTGTGACCTGGCTGCTAATTGGGCGGACAATCAATCCCCTCAAGAGAGGGCAATCAATTCTGTTCCGCCAGGTATATTGTCTTCAATCTTGTGAGTGGGACGCTGGACCCTGTTTCCAGCAGGTGATGGTCCCCACCAATAGATTGGAGCCATCTATAAACTAGGGCTTGCTATTGGAGGATGCTCGTATCACCTCCAATAGTAGGTTGCCACAGATGTTTCGGTAAAAAAAAAAAAAAAAAAAAAAAAGGACGACTATAGGAAAGGAAGAACCTCATTCGTCCTCTCCAACTCCGTCCTCGTAAAGAGTCCAGAGTGGGCACCATCATCACCCTGAAATTCCTTGCCCCCACAAGAATTTCAGTCTCCGTCCTCAAGGGGTGAAACAACACTACCCAATGTCAATCGCGCCAAGGTTCACCCTCATCAGCCGGTACCCATTGGACAACCGAAACTTCCCAACTGCAATCGCATCTGATAAGAGGTCCCCCTAGCCGGTACCCATTAAAAAGCCCTATTCCATCCCCTCTCCGTCCTTTCGAAGAATTATTTGATGCCCTTGCTCCCTACTTCAAAACAAATCCCCCAAGACCCTACAAGATGGTCCACTCGACCACCCTATGGGGCCCCTATTTAAACTCTAACGAGACTCTAACGGAAAAAAAAGGTCAAATTTTGAAAATCAACATATCTCGACATTGAAAACGTAGAAATTCAGTTGCAAAAGTAAAAGCCAGATATCTACAGTTAAGAGAAAAAAATACGGATTTATGCCTAGTTATCCAGAAACGATTTCCAAAGTAGCTTCTCGAATCTCCACTAGTACCAGAGAATTTTGGAACGAAGTTGTAAGGCTTACGAATTTTCAGAAAATTATGAATTTATTTAATATATGTAATTAGGAATCGAACTCGAATTTATTTGTGACATCATTGATATGTAAGTACGAAATCAAACTAAAGTCTATTGTTATAAATTAACAAGACCTGTATGAAAAATCGGATAGGGTGAGAGTTGATGAAAATAAGCAACAATTTTAAGGTCGTACTTTAGATCATCTTACTAGAAAACTGAAATTAACCCATCCATCCGATCAGCAAATGATTTCGGTGTGGCATTATTTCACGTGAGACATTCACATGAAAGCAGACACAGCAAGTCGGTTCGTACAGAATGAACATGCAACTGGTTCACACAAGGTGAGCACATAGAGATTCAGATTCGACACCTTCGTGAAACGTGAAACGTGAAACGTCGAACTTTGAAAATGTCGATAAAGAAACATCATGAAAAACGCGACATCCAAAGTGTACGCGCGCGAGAAACGAAAGTACATCCTACACACGCGAAACGTTTACGCTTCGAAAGAGGTCTCATCTAATCTCTAAAACGTTATTAATAGCTCCTGCCACACCTACTAACTAACTTCTCTCCTTCTCCTAATTTCAAGGTCAATACCTCCAAACGCTTCCACAAACGTCAATGTAAGAGCAAAGTCGCAAAAGCCGAAAAGACCGAAAAACCTGAAAAACCTGAAAAAGCCGAAACAGCCAAAGGACCTACACAACCGAAAAAACTGAAAAATCGAAAAAGCCACAAATAACCAAAAAGCTAATATCAAGGGGGCCAAGACAAAAACACTTAATCAAGCCACTTTCTTCCCGGTACCCAGTCGATACATGTAACCCTGATGTCAAAGGTCACCTGCCTTGCTATCTACGCCTAGTCAGGGGCATCAAGTCTGACAAAACACCAGAGGGAGCGCTCGAAGAGGTCAACCGGGAAGGATTGCTTTCTTAGTTCGCGGTTCAGCGAGAGCAGCCCTTCCCCGGCCTTTTCAACCGACGTCGTGCATTCCTTGATTTTATGCAACATCCCGTTTATCAAAGTTCTCTTGTGCTTCATACATGTGTACGAGCAGTAATCCTGGAAACACTTATACCCTAGTTTCGGGTCATCCTCCCAGATTTCCTGAAAAATCTTTGCCCGGTACCAACTTGACACAATTCCATCATTAATTTGTATTCGACACCCCAAAAAACTCCATTTGCTTTTTCCATCATCGTTTTTTTTTCAGCGACAACTTGGGGTCATACGACCTTTCAAATTTGTCGATAATGCCTTTTGCTTTTCCCCGCTTCTTCTTCCCCCAACTCTGCCAAACAAATAGCGAAACATCATCAACTAATCTAATCCCTTTCACAAGCCCAACATCTTTCCCCAAACTTTCCAAAAATTGACTCTCGTAGTATGCGCAAAGAATGCATGCGACCGGAGGGCTACTTGACTTCCCCGTCGGTATGCCCTCTTTCTGCTTGATCAGTCGGTCGGAAGCCCACAGAAAGGTGTTATCTAAATCAAAGCTCACCATTTCTTTGATCAGATCAAACCTCACCTTCACCTACCCTTCTTCACCTTTTTTACTTCCAAAGGAAGCGCCCTTTCCCCTCGATCTCACCATCACAAACTTCCTCCCTTTCCTGAAATACATTTCCAAGATTCAGTCGATCGCTTTTTTCACAGATTCGTGGGGCAGCTCGCTGAACATCTCCTTGATGTCGTAGGCTACCCCTTGCAGTTCACCATTCTTCTTCTTTGACGCCCATCTGTTAAATTCTTTCAACTTCGACTTCAGCATACTAGTCGACTTCAGATTGAAATTGTTGTTCTTCGGCAGAGAAAACAACAGAAAGTTGAGGGCCTTTGCCACCCTCTGGTTAACCAACTTCGCTGGTTCAGAAAATGAGGGAGAAATTGGTCGATACTTCGAAACGTCCTTGTGTTTTGGCAGAACGTAAGCTTTGTTATCCCATCTTCCAATCTCCGCCAGCCCTCTCTCTTCAAATTCCTTCTTCGCTCTACTCATAACTTCCTCCTCCCCTCTCCATACTGGTCGAACGCCTCATTTCCCCAAAACATCACCCTCATTCCTTCTTCATAGGCCGCTGGGCATATTACCAACATCTCTGCTGGGTTCTTATCCAGCGGGCAAAACACCATTCCTTCCCATCTCGTCTTCAGATCCTTAATTCTATCAATCATCCCATCCAGGGTTGTCGAACCCCGGCCCCGGGACCCCGCCGGGGTTTCGGGGTTCCGGGGGTCGGCACCCGGGACCCCGGCCCCCTGTAGGGG